GCTGTTTGGGGAGCTGGAACCAGAGCTGCTGTCCAAGGTGCTGGAAGCCAAGCCAGAAGACCCCTGCCCTCCAGGTGATCTGCTTTTGAGGGAACCCATACCTGAATCCAAAACTGTTGTTGACTGTCTCCTGCTGTGCTCTACAGGGTGTGTAACCTCCTGCATCTGCACATAGTTTGATATCTGCATAGGGGCAAACAGGAAGCATCCCAAAGGGTCACCACTTCTGCACAGAGAAGCATGGGTTGCCCTCTTTCCCCCCTCTTTGGAAGAACTTTGGAAGTCCTGCTGATTTAAGAAAGCTCAGATCATTCTTGGGAATCCATCTCCCCTGAATATATATATATTGATTATTACCATCTGGCAGACGTTACAGGGTGACAAAGACAAGGACAAACAGACTGAGAGACTGCTTTCATGCTAGAGCTGTCACTATGTTGAACTCCCATGGCTTTGCATTGATGTGGCATTGGGGACTGTGCGGTGGGGTTGGAGTGTGGAGGGTGGGTGTGTTGTTATTGTGACGTGTGCGGAGGAAGGCCTTTAATTTCGTTGTGCAATGTACAATGACAATAAAGTTATTCTATTCTATTCTTTGCACTTGATTATATGGCAACCTTCAACTCGTATAATATAGTTCAAAGCAGATAATTTGGAGTTAGGAATAATAATAATAATAATAATAATAATAATAATAATAATAACTGTACGCACCACGCGTTGCTATGGCCAACTTTCCCTCCCTCTTTCTCTCCTTCTTTTTCTCCTTCCTTCACTCCCTTTCCTTCCTTCCTTTCATTTTCTTCTTTCTTTCCTTCCTTCTCTACCTCTTTACTTCCTTCCATTTTTCTTTTCCTTCTTCTTTCTTCCTTTTCTACCTCTTTCCTTCCTTCCTTGACTTTTTGCTTCCATGCTTCTTTCTCTTTTCCTTCTTTCCTTTCCCCCTTTCTCTCCTTTCTTCCTTCTCTACCTCTTTCCTTCCTTCCTTCGCTTTTTGCTTCCATCCTTCCTACATCTTTCCTTCCTTCCGCTTTTCTTTTCCTTCTTTTCTCTCTCCTTCCTTTGCTCTTTTCTTCGATGCTTCCTTGTTTCCCTCCCTCCCTCCCTCTTTCTTTCTTTCTTTCTCCCCCTTTCTTTCTTTCTTTCTTTCTTTCTTTCTCCCCTTCCTTCCCCTTTTTTCCTGTGTTGTCATTTAGCTTTTCATCATTTAGCTTTTGAGGTTCTTTCATTCCACTGTTTTTTTTGGGGAGGGGGATTATGAGTGATGGTCACTTGTTGGTCTGTTAGGAATATATTGTCCGAATTTGGTGTCAATTCCTCCAGTGGTTTTTGAGTTCTGTTAATCCCACAAAGGAACATTACATTTTTATTTATATAGACCAGCTGTCCCTGCCAGGCGTTGCTGTGGCCCAGTCTGTTGATCTGGAAAATACAGTAATGAGAAAGTGTTGGTTTCTAATATATGGAATTCCTTTCTGCTTGTGAGTAAACAGTATTTCTTATTGTTTCTTTGTCAGTGTTGATGTGGAGATGGTCTGGTTTGCCTACCCTGGAACATGGAACATATCATTGTCCTTCTTTAGGGGTCCCTTTCAAAACTATGATACGATATCTCTCTGTGTGTGAATCATATATATCAATCTATCTCTATGGCTGGATGGCTCTTTGTCAGGAGGGCTTTGATTAAGTTTTCTTGCCGTCGTGAAGGGAGTTGGACTGGATGGCCTTAAGTATTTCCTATTAGTCATGGGGGTTCTGTGTGGGAAGTTTGCCCCAATTCTATCGTCCGTGGGGTTCACAATACTCTTTGGTTGTAGGTGAACTATAAATCCCAGCAACTAGAACTCCCAAATGTCAAGGTCTATTTTCCCCAAACTCCATCTGTGTTCATATTTATTTTTATTTATTTTTTTATTTGTCGTGTCAGGACAACCAGTCAAATTATATTACATTTCTAACAGAACAAAGCAAACAAACAGACAAAACACAAAATTTGCAAGCTTGGTAGTTGATTAAATGTCCTTTGCCCAGTATCTGGCCCCTTGGAGTGCCTCTGGTGTTGCCGCAAGAAGGTCCTCCATTGTGCATGTGGCAGGGCTCAGGTTGCATTGCAGCAGGTGGTCAGTGGTTTGCTCTTCTCCGCACTCGCGTGTCGTGGATTCCACTTTGTGGCCCCATTTCTTGAGGTTGCCTCTGCATCTCGTGGTGCCAGAGCGCAGTCTGTTCAGCGCCTTCCAAGTCGCCCAGTCCTCTGTGTGCCCAGGAGGGAGTCTCTCATTTGGTATCAGTCATTGATTTGAGCCTGCCACTTTTGGACTCTCGCTTGCTGGGGTGTTCCAGCGAGTGTCTCTGTCGATCTTAGAAAATTATTTCGAGATTTAAGTCGTTGACGTGCTGGCTGATACCCAAACAAGGAATGGGCCAGAGATGTCTCTGCCTTGGTCCTTTCCCTATTGGCTGCTACTTCCCGGTGGATGTCAGGTGATGCAGTACCGGCTAAGCAGTGTAATTTCTCCAGTGGTGTAGGGCGCAGGCACCCCATAATGATGTGGCATGTCTCATTAAGAGCCACATCCACTGTTTTAGTGTGGTGAGATGTGTTCCACACTGGGCATGCATACTCGGCAGCAGAGTAGCATAGCGCAAGGGCAGATGTCTTCACTGTGTCTGGTTGTGATCCTCAGGTTGTGCCAGTCAGCTTTCGTATGATATTGTTTCTATCACCCACTTTTTGCTTGATGTTCAGGCAGTGCTTCTTGTAGGTCTGAGCACGGTCCAGAGTGACTCCTAGATATTTGGGTGTGCTGCAATGCTCCAGTGGGATTCCTTCCCAGGTGATCCTCAGAGCTTGGGATGCTTGTCTGTTCTTAAGGTGAAAAGCACATGTCTGTGTTTTAGATGGGTTAGGGATCAGCTGGTTTTCCCTGTCGTAGGCAGTCAGAGCACCTAGAGCAGTGGTTCTCAACCTGTGGCTCCTCAGGTGTTTTGGCCTACAACTGCCAGAAATCCCAGCCAGTTTACCAGCTGTTAGGATTTCTGGGAGTTGAAGGCCAAAACATCTGGGGACCCACAGGTTGAGAACCACTGACCTAGAGCTTGAAAGGCAGCAGATCACAGCAGGAGCGGTCTTCATAGACTTGTCAGCAGCCTATGATACTGTGAACCACCGCTGCCTCCTCCTGAGTAAAATGTATAATATCACCAAGGACGACCACCTCACCCGCCTCATAGGAAACCTGCTACAAAACAGGAGCTTTTTTGTTGAGTTCCAGGGCCAGAGAAGCAGATGGCGGACACAGAAGAACGGCCTGCCTCAGGGGAGCGTGCTTGCTCCATCCATGTTCAACATTTACACAAATGACCAGCCACTGCCAGAAGGGACAGAGAGCTTCATCTATGCTGACGATCGTGCCATCACCGCTCAAGCAGGGAGCTTTGAGATGGTAGAACAGAAGCTCTCCGAAGCTCTAGGTCAATGGTTCTCAACCTGGGGTCCCCAGATGTCTTTGGCCTTTAACTCTCAGCTGGTAAACTGGCTGGGATTTCTGAGAGCTGTAGGCAAAAAACATCTGGGGACCCCAAGTTGAGAACCACTGCTCTAGGTGCTCTGAGTTCTATGGCATTGTGGAAGAGCCCGGAAGGCCCCTCCCCCTTTTGTGGCCCCGCCCACCAGGCAGAAGCTCCGCCCATTCCCTTTCAGCGGCTTGTCTTGGTGCAGAGCGCCCTGATTGGCTGCCGGGCGCGTGACGTCACTGTGGGGGCGTGCCTGATATAAAACCGCTAAGGCATTGTGGAAGAGCCCGGAAGGCCCCGCCCCCCTTTGAGGCCCCGCCCACCAGACAGAAGCCCCGCCTATTCTTCAGCGGCTTGTCTTAGTGCAGCGCGCCCTGATTGGCTGCCGGGCGCGTGACGTCACTGCGGGGGCGTGTCTGATATAAAAGCGCTATGGCATTGTGGAAGAGCCCGGAAGGCCCCTCCCCCTTTTGTGGCCCCGCCCACCAGGCAGAAGCTCCGCCCATTCCCTTTCAGCGGCTTGTCTTGGTGCAGCGCGCCCTGATTGGCTGCCGGGCGCGTGACGTCACCGCTGGGGGCGTGTCTGATATAAAAGCGCTATGGCATTGTGGAAGAGCCCGGAAGGCCCCTCCCCCTTTTGTGGCCCCGCCCACCAGGCAGAAGCTCCGCCCATTCCCTTTCAGCGGCTTGTCTTGGTGCAGCGCGCCCTGATTGGCTGCCGGGCGCGTGACGTCACCGCTGGGGGCGTGTCTGATATAAAAGCACTATGGCATTGTGGAAGAGCCCGGAAGGCCCCGCCCCCTTTTGAGGCCCCGCCCACCAGACAGAAGCCCCGCCTATTCTTCTTCAGCGGCTTGTCTTAGTGCAGCGCGCCCTGATTGGCTGCCGGGCGCGTGACGTCACTGTGGGGGCGTGTCTGATATAAAAGCGCTATGGCATCATGAGGAGACAGGAAAGCCTAGAGAAAACAATTATGCTGGGGAAAGTGGAAGGCAAAAGGAAGAGGGGCCGACCAAGGGCAAGATGGATGGATGGCATCCTTGAAGTGACTGGACTGACCTTGAGGGAGCTGGGGGTGGTAACGGCCGACAGGGAGCTCTGGCGTGGCTGGTCCATGAGGTCACGAAGAGTCGGAGACGACTGAACGAATGAACAACAACAAACATGGCATTGTGGAAGAGCCCGGAAGGCCCCGCCCCCTTTTGAGGCCCCGCCCACCAGACAGAAGCCCCGCCTATTCTTCTTCAGCGGCTTGTCTTAGTGCAGCGCGCCCTGATTGGCTGCCGGGCGCGTGACGTCACTGCGGGGGCGTGTCTGATATAAAAGCGCTATGGCGTTGTGGAAGAGCCCGGAAGGCCCCTCCCCCTTTTGTGGCCCCGCCCACCAGGCAGAAGCTCCGCCTATTTTTCTTCAGCGGCTTGTCTTGGTGCAGCGCGTCCTGATTGGCTGCCGGGTGAGTGACGTCACAGCGGGGGCGTGTCTGGTATAAAAGGGGCTGCCGGCGCCTCAGAAGGCGCAGAAGCGTGTGAAGGAGGCTGCCGAGAGTGTTGCCGGCATGGCGTCCGAAGCTGCCGAGAGGAAGGAGGCCGAGACGTTACGTTCTCCGAGCAGCAATACCCGCCGCCTCCGCCTCCCAGGCTCGTTCCGTCGTGAAGCGGCCTTCCTCCGGAAGCTGCGCCTTGAAGCACGGGCCCAACCGGAAGCGGAAGGAGGAGCGAACCGGAAGTGCGGCCTAGAGAGCGGCAAGGGAGCCTTACCGGAAGCGCTGAGGGAGATCCGGGCGGAGTACGAAGGGCTGGCGGCGCGGAACCGGGCGGCGGCGGAGGAGTGGCGCCGGTCGGCCTTCGCCTCGGAGGCCCAGAGCGCGGCCAGGAGCCGGGAGGCCCTGCGAGGGGTGCGGAGGGAGACCCTCCACTACCGGGCCAAGCGACAGGCCCGCGCCGGGGAAGCCGAGGGGCTCCGCAGGCACATCCGGGCGCTCCAGGCCCGCCTCAGGGAGCTCCACGCCCGGCAGGGAGCACAGCTGGGCCGCAAGCAGGTGCGCCCAATCCCCACAAACACAAACACCACCACAATAATAATCTATATAAATAAAAATGCAATGTTTAGGTTCTTGTGGGTTTTTCCGGGCTATAGGGCCATGTTCTAGAGGCATTTTCTCCTGACGTTTCGCCTGCATCTATGGCAAGCATCCTCAGAGGTAGTGAGGTCTGTTGGAAGTAGGAAAATGGATTTATATATCTGTGGAATGACCAGGGTGGGACAAAGGACTCTTGTCTGCTGGAGCTAGGTGGGAATGCCTCAACTGACCACCTTGATTAGCATTTGAAGGCCTGGCTGAGCCTGGAGCAATCTTTGGTTGAGAGGTGTTAAGATGTGCCTGGTTGATTCCTCTCTATATGGCCATGGTCTAGAGGCATTCTCTCCTGACGTTTCGCCTGCATCTATGGCAAGCATCCTCAGAGGTAGTGAGGTCTGTTGGAACTGGGAAAATGGGTTTATATATCTCTGGAATGACCAGGGTGGGACAAAGGACTCTTCCCTGCTGGAGCCAGGTGTGAATGTTTCAACTGACCACCTTCATTAGCATTTGAAGGCCTGGCTGAGCCTGGGGGAATCTTTTGTTGAGAGTTGTTAAGATGTGCCTGGTTGATTCCTCTCTATATGGCCATGGTCTAGAGGTATTCTCTCCTGACGTTTCACCTGCATCTGTGGCAAGCATCCTCAAAGGTAGTGAGGTCTGTTGGAAATAGGACAATGGGTTTATATATCTGTGGAATGACTGGTGTAGGGCAAAGAGCTCTTTTCTGCTGGAGCTAGGTGTGAATGTTTCAACTGACCACCTTCATTAGCATTTGAAGGCCTGGCTGAGCCTGGGGGAATCTTTTGTTGAGAGTTGTTAAGATGTGCCTGGTTGATTCCTCTCTATATGGCCATGGTCTAGAGGTATTCTCTCCTGACGTTTCACCTGCATCTATGGCAAGCATCCTCAGAGGTTGTGAGGTCTGTTGGAATTAGTAAAATGGGTTTATATATCTGTGGAATGATGACCAGGGTGGGACAAAGGACTCTTGTCTGCTGGAGCTAGGTGGGAATGTTTCAACTGACCACCTTGATTAGCATTTGAAGGCCTGAACTTAAACACAATCGGCACTGACAAGATTACCACCTGCCAGCTGCAGAAGGCCACTTTACTGGGATCTGCACGCATTATTCGCAGATACAGCACACAGTCCTAGACACTTGGGAAGGGTCTGACGTGTGATCCAAGGCAACAACCAGCGGACTGATCTTGTCTGCTGTGGACTCACCTAGTCATTCCAGCCATGAAAGCTTTCGACAATACAAATGTAGTGTTTGTTTGTGGGATTAACAGAACTCAAAAACCACTGGAACAATTGACACCAAATTTGGACACAAGACACCTAACAACCCAATGTATGCCCTTCACTCAAAAAATTGATTTTGTAATTTAGGAGTTGTAGTTGCTGGGATTTATAGTTCACCTACAATCAAAGAACATTCTGAACCCCACCAACAATGGAATTGAACCAAAGTTCCCACACAGAACTCCCATGACCAACAGGAAATACTGAAAGGGTTTGGTGGGCAGTGTCCTTTGGTTTTGGAGTTGTAGTTCACCTACACCCAGATCACTGTATTATTTATTTATTTATTTACTTTATTTGTATACCGCTCTTCTCAGCCCTTAGGTGACTCAGAGCAGTTTACAACAATTTAGGTATACACAATACAAAACCATTAGGCATTTAAAAGCAATAGCATCACAAATCATTAAACATCAGCATCAATACATCAGTACATCAATATAACAAATCCATCAGGTCTCATCAATGAAATCAGAATCCAAACTCGTTATCCAATATTCTGTGTTCCGATAGTCAGTCAGTCAATCACACTGCTTAGTCGAATGCCTGTTCAAACAGCCAGGTCTTTACTTTCCTCCGGAATGCCAGCAGGGAGGGGGTCAATCTAATATCTGTAGGAAGGGCGTTCCACAGCCGAGGGGCCACCACTGAGAAGGCCCTGATCTCGTCCCCGCCAGGCGTGCTTGTGAAGCCGGCGGGATCGAGAGCAGGGCCTCCCCAGATAATCTTAATGTCCTAACTGGTTCATAGGAGGAGATGCGTTCGGACAGGCAGGTCGGGCCAGAACCGTTTAGGGCTTTAAAGGCTAAAGCCAGCACTTTGAATTGTGCCCAGTAGCAAATTGGCAGCCAGTGGAGCTGGCGCAGCAGAGGAGTTGTATGCTCCCTGAGTGCCGCTCCTGTTAACATCCTGGCTGCCGATCGTTGGACCATTTATTTATTTATTTATTTAATGCATTTGTTGACCGCCGCTCTCAGCCCTAGGGCGACTCGCGGCGGTGTACAACATATAAAAACAGTTTACAAAAGCACAGAGTACATCAACAACCATATAACACACTTAATCTAAATTACACTAACTAATCCGCACCGTCACAACATAGGGATCTACCAATCTCATAATCCGTATTCCGTTCCGATTGTCATTGTCAGTTAGTCTGGGACTAGTTAAATGCCTTCTCGAAGAGCCAGGTCTTTAGGCTCTTACGGAAAACCATGAGAGAGGGCGCCTGTCTGATGTCAGCAGGGAGGGCATTCCACAGCCGGGGGGCCACCACTGAGAAGGCCCTCTCTCTCGTCCCCGCCAAACGCGCCTGTGAGGCAGGCGGAATCGAGAGAAGGGCCTCCCCAGACGATCTCAAGGTCCTCGTGGAAGCTTCCGAGCAGTCTTCAGAAGCAACCCCACATAGAGAGCGTTGCAGTAGTCTATACGAGATGTAACCAGAGCGTGGACTACTGTAGACAAGTCAGGCTTCCCAGTAGCCAAGTCAAGCTTCCCTGTGGACTCAAACAATGATGGATCTGGACCAAGCTGTACACGAAGACTCAATATGCCCAAATGTGAACACTGGTGGAGTTTGGGGAAAATAGAATCTTGACATTTGGGAGTTGTAGTTGCTGGGATTTATAGTTCACCTACAAGAGCATTCTGAACCCCACCAACAATAGAATTGAACCAAACTTCCCACATAGAACCCCCATGACCAACAGAAAATTCTGTGTTTTCTGGTGGTCTTTGGTGACCCTTCTGACACCCCCCTGGTGACCCCCCCCCCCCCCGGGGTCTTGACTTCCCAGATTGAGAAATGCTGCCTTAAGGCCATCCAGTCCAACTCCCTTCACCAGGGCAAGAATACATAATCAAAGCCCTCCTGACAAAGGGCCATCCAGCCATTCACACACACACATATATGTATGTGACAGATGCAGTATCATAGATTTGAAAGGGACCCCTGAAGGACAATTATATGTTGCATGTTCCAGAGTAGCAAACCAGACACTCTCCACATCAACACTGACAAAGAAACAGCAAGAAATACTGTTTACCTCACAAGCATAAAGAATTACATATATTAGAAACCAACACTTTCTCATTACTTTATTTTCCAGATCAACAGACTGGGCCACAGCAATGCATGGCAGGGGACTGCTAGTAAATAAATAAATGGGTGGGCTGCACCTCCTCTGGGATGAGTAGGGAGTACTACCTGTGGGAGGGGAGACCTACACAGGGTCACCCAAATACTGTGTTTACTGGAATCTAATGCTCACCTTTTTTGGCTAAATTGCCTCCCCAAATTAGGGAATTTTTGAGCCAAAGCAAAAGGGGAAGCTACTTCACCTGAGCTATTTGAGGGATATCATCTCTAATTTAATTGCTATGGCTCAGTGCTATGCAGTTCTGGAATTTGCTCAGGTTGCATTGCAGCAGGTGGTCAGTGGTTTGCTCCTCTCCACACTCGCATGTCGTGGATTCCACTTCGTGGCCCCATTTCTTGAGGTTGGCTCTGCATCTCGTGGTGCCAGAGCGCACTCTGTTCAGCGCCTTCCAAGTCGGCCAGTCTTCTGTGTGCCCAGGGGAGAGTCTCTCATTTGGTATCAGCCATTGATTGAGGTTCTGGGTTTGAGCCTGCCACTTTTGGACTCTTGCTTGCTGAGGTGTTCCAGCAAGTGTCTGTGTAGATCTTAGAAAACTATTTCTTGATTTAAGTTGTTGACGTGCTGGCTGATATCCAAACAGGTATCACTGAACCCAGGCAATTAAAGTGGCCTCATTCTACAGCATAGATGCACCCCAAGGTTTTCTTTTCCGTTGCTGGAAGCTTTGCTGTTCTAACACGTTGGTTTTAAAGGTGGAATTCTATGCCGGCAGCCACTGAGTCTACCTTTTCCTGCTGCATATTACATTTTTCAATATTTTTTTTTCTGGTTTCAGGATTTTGAAAATTGTGGTGTAGATTAGATTTGATGGTGCATTAGACTCGAGTAAATACAGGTAGCTTGCCTCCTGGGTTTAGGGCTTGTGAATTGGGAGGTGGGCTGGAGAAGGGCCCATGGAGGCTTAGGGATCCTGGGAAGCCTCTGCTTGGCCCCTTGGCCCACTCCTCTCTTCTTCTGGCAGGAGAAAGTGGCTGAACTGGAAGAAGAGATCTCTGAAGCTAAGGAGGAGATGGGCCGATACCTGCAGGAGTACCAGGAGCTGCTGAAGGTCAAGATGGCACTGGACGTGGAGATCGCAGCCTATAGGTAAGGCCAGGCATGGGGACCCCCTCCCCCCGCCCCACTATGTCTCACACAGGAGTGACTTGTATCACTAGGAGTTTGTAGTTCCCAAATCCCTTGAGAGTCCCTTCTGTGGTTGGAACAGAATCAAGACTCCCAATTCCAGCTCTGTCCTCTGAATGCCTGGAGAGAGCACTGTTGGGTATTTAGAAACATTGCATTTTTTAACAAACAAAACACAAAGTTTGCAAGCTTTGTAGTTGATTAAATGTCCTTTGACCAGTATCTGGCCACTTGGAGTGCCTCTGGTGTTACTATATGAAGGTCCTCCCTGGTGCATGTGGCAGGGCTCAGGTTGCATTGCAGCAGGTGGTCAGTGGTTTGCTCTTCTCCACACTCGCATGTCGTGGATTCCACTTTGTAGCCCCATTTCCTAAGGTTGGCTCTGCATCTCGTGGTGCCAGAGCGTAGTCTGTTCAGCGCCTTCCAAGTCACCCAGTTTTCTGTGTGCCCAGGAGGGAATCTCTCATTTGGTATCAGCCATTGATTGAGGTGCTGGGTTTGAGCCTGCCACTTTTGGACTCTCGCTTGCTGGGGTGTTCCAGCAAGTGTCTCTGTCGATCTTAGAAAACTATTTCTTGATTTAAGTCTTTGACGTGCTGGCTGATACCCAAACAGGCAAAGTGGGGTGAAAAGAGGGGGGTTCTTTGGTCTTAAACTGATTCCTGTGTTCCCTTCTTTTTTTCCAGGAAGCTTCTGGAGGGAGAGGAGATGTGGTGGAGCGCTGCGGCTTGGCCAGATGCAACCAAGTGACCCTCCTGATGTCTCCCGCCCCCTTGCCTGGTTCATCTCCATTGGCATCTCCCCCTCCCCTTTCCCCCTTCAAGATGCTCAGGGTCTCCCCTTTCTTGGCAGGTGGATGGTGCCCCAGTGGCCGGGGAACTGGGAGCTTCCTGTGCGTCAGAGATAATGGCACGCGAAGGAAAGGGGTGTGCGCAAGGGCCCCTCTCTCTCTCTCCATCAGGCTTTGGGCAGGTGGGCCACCTGTCGATCCTTGAGGTTGTGCGCGGAGTGGATCACCATTCATCTCTTGGTCCTAGGTGTCTCTCTCTCTCCATGATCTTGGGTGGCGCTATTTAAATAGTATAAGATAGCATTTAAATAGTAAGCATTTAGTAAGAAAGAGGTGGCTCAGTAGAGACTGTGTTGTCAAAGGCTTTCATGGCAGGAATCACTGGGTTGCAGTGAGTTTTCCACGCAATCTGGCCATGTTCCAGAAGCATTCTGTCCTGACATTTTGCCCACATGCATGGCAGGCATCCTCAGAGATTGTGAGGTTTGTTGGAAGTGAGTCTACTGGGCTGTCTGGCCATGTTCTAGAAGCATTCTCTCCTGACGTTTTGCCCACATGCATGGCAGGCATCCTCAGAGATTTTGAGGTTTGTTGGAAACTAGGCAAGTGAGGTTTATATATCTGTGGGATAATGTCCATGGTGAGAGAAAGAACGCTGGTCTGCTGGAGCGAAGTGTGAACGTTGCAAATGGTCACCTTATTTATTTATTTACTTACTTACTACATTGATATGCTCCCCTTCTCACCCCGAAGGGGACTCAGAGTGGCTTACATGATAGAAATGTTTCAGATTTGTGCACTATGTTTATAATATTTTTTTAATGTAATTTGATGATGTTGTTTATTGTTAATGCTCAGGTTTTATTTTGTTGTAATATGTTGTCCGGGTTCGGCCCCATGTAAGCCGCTCCGAGTTCCCATTGGGGAGATGGTTTATTATTATTGTTGTTGTTGTTATTATTATTATTTTCTTTGGACTTCATTCTGGTCTTGATGTAATACAATTAAGACACAAGGAGTCATTCAATAGGTGTTGCTATGGCCGTGCAGCTCGGCCATTGAAGTCCTCTCGCCACAAGGCTGTGTGGCCATGGAGGTGCCCTGCCCAGGAGTTGTAAGGCAACAGGGCCAAAGAGGTGTCGCTATGGCCCCGCACAGGTGTTGCTATGGCCGGCAGTAGACTCTCCTCTACAGTTCCATTTTGGCGGGACACCTTAGCATCGAATGGTTGTGTGTTGTGTTTTTTTTTATATATATATATAATAATTTTTATTAATTTTTCCAATAAGAATACAAAACACAAAAAATACAAAACGGTGAAACAGATAAAAAAGTGTAGGAAAGAAGAGAAAAAAAAGAAAAACGAAGAGAGAAAAAAAAATTGGAAAAACACAACACACAACCATTCAATGCTAAGGTGTCCCGCCAAAATGGAACTGTAGAGGAGAGTCTACTGCCGGCCATAGCAACACCTGTGCGGGGCCATAGCGACACCTCTTGTTGTGTGTTGTGTTGTCTAGGGGCTAGACTAGATGGCCTCTGAGTTCCTTTCCTCCGCTCCCTCCAAAAGTACAAGGCCCTGGCAAGCCAGTGCTGCAACCACACGTTCTCCAGCCCCCTCCTCCCCGACAAGGCTTGGGGGGTGAAACTACACGCCATGATGTCCGCCCCCAGCTGCCCCCCCAACTCAGGCAAAAAGGGGGCGTGGGAGGTGGGAGGAGAGGGGCTGGTCCTCAGAATATTTGGGGATGGGTGGTGCCCGTTGTTTGGAGCACCTTGGAGCCGGGCCAGATGTAATAGCGGCCCCCTCTTTTCTTGGGGCACAAAATAGCCCCTCTAGTGTCCCCCCCTCCAAAGTAACAACCCCCAACTCCCATTCCTATTATCCCCCTACCCATGCAATTGCGGTTGCCCCAGGTGAGACTTCTCCCTGCTGCTGCTGTTTTGGGAAACAGACCTGCCCCATTTCTGATGTATTGCCTCTCCGCTGCTTTGCTAAGACTACAAGCCCTATGCTCCATGAGGAGTGTCTTAAAGAACTGGGTCTGTTTACGCTGCAGAAGAGAAGGTTGAGAGGAGACATGTATAGAGATGTGAAAGGGTGTCATAAGGAAGAGGGAGCAGGCTGGCTGATTTTACTGTGGTATTGTTTTCTGTATTGATCATGATAATTATGTTTACTTTTGATATACGTATGATGTATCTGTATTTATTGCACCGTATGTATTGTTACATTACGAGTGCTTTGTAAGCCGCCCCGAGTTCATTTTGGGAGATAGTGGCGGAGTAGAAATAAATTATTATTATTATTATTATTATTATTATTATTATTATTATTATTATTTGAAACAGAACAAGATGAGTCCACAGCAGACAAAATCACTCTGCTGGTTGTTGCATTAGATCACACGTCGGACACTTCCCAAGTGCCTAGGACTGTGGGATGTATCGGCGAATAATGCGTGCAGATCCCAGTAAGGTGGCCTTTTGCAGCTGGCAGATGGTCATTTTGTCAGCGCCGATTGTTGTTATTATTATTATTTTACTGACACAAAAACACAGTATGTCACAGCAACCGAGATATATATTCTGGATTTCGTATCACAAAACCACAATTCGAACACTTCCCAAGTGTCTAGGACTGTGTTTGTTGTTGTCGCTTTCTGCTACCCTGGAGACTAGGACTCAATGGAACAATGGGTGCAAATGGCAGAAAAGGAGATTCCTCCTGAACATAACTTCCTGACCTTAAGAAGAGATGTTCAGTAGTGGAACTCTCTGCCTCGGTGTCTGGTGGAAGCTCCTTCCTTGGAAGCTTTTAAACCAACGATAGATGGCCATTTGTTGGGGGTGCTTTGATTGTGCTTTTCCTGCATGGCAGGGGATTGGACTAGATGGCCCATGGGGTCTCTTCCAACTCTATGATTCTACATATCCATCAGTCCCATGCCCAACAGCTTTAGTTACTGAGTTGTTATGGTTTATTATGGGTGAGCAGATGAAGCGGTATTATATATAGCATTTCTTCTGCATCTCAAAAACTAGAGCTGATGGGGGGAAAGCCAGTCCCATTGTTGGAATTCGCAGGTGAAATAGACCCAGAAGCAGGGCTAACATTGCGAGGCCAGTGGAATCTAAGAGTTGCCTTCTGTGGAGGCTTTTAAGCTGAGTCTGAATGGCCGTCTGTTGGGAGTGCTTTCATTATGTCTTCCTGCATGACTGGATGTGGTTGGACTGGATGTCCTCTGGGGGTCCCTTTATTTATTTATTTATGTGTTTGTTTGTTTGTTTATTTATTTATTGTCGTATTTGTATACTTCCCTTCTCAGTTCCAAAGGGGAGTCAGGGAGGTTCACAGTGTCGAAGTCTATGATCTATAACTTGTGGGACGTCAGAGTTGTCCTGGGAAGTGGGGCAGGTGAAAGCACCAAATGACCCTTCCCCTCCCGTTCCCCATCCATCCTCATCCACAGCAGCCCCTCTTCCCACTGGAACCCCCCAACCAATAAAGCTCTGCGATTGGGAACCAGAAGTGTGGGACTCTTTTGGAAGTCTGCCTACCCAATTCATTTATTTACCACATTTCAGCCCAGAGGCGACTGCCTAAAGGTCTGCCTTTGAGGAAGGGGGCACTGAGAGGGGTCCCTGAGTCCAAACAGGAGCAGCCAGCCCAGCATCATTCTCTCCATGCTTTTATTAAAAGAATCCCACGCATGCTCTGTCTTCATAGAGCCCTGTGAGGAAAGTGAGTGGGTGGGGTGAGGTGGGGGGTCCTTTGCCCACATCCCCACCCGCCCACGAGACCCCTTCTGGGCTCCAACTCAAGGGAGTGGTGTGGTCTCCGAGGGAAGGGCCCATCCGGACCAGGGGCCCCAGGCGGAGCCGGCAATGGGGTCCTGGCAGCGGACCTTGGCTCGGTGGAGGATCTGGTGAGGCTGTGGGGGCTCGGCGGTCTCCTCAAGGCGGTCCTGCAAGAAGAAACGACCTGGGGTTAGGAGGCTGGGGCGGGTGTGGGGGGGGGGGGGAGAGACCCAGGATGGAGTGTTCATTTGGATGGCACGAAACGGCACAGTCCCTCCCCTATATGTAAATATCAGTGAAATGAAAGGTAAGTGGGAATGGTAACTCTTCTGCGTCCACACTGCAGAATAGTCTTGTGCATTTGTATAGAATCACTATCCATTCCAGTTTGTTTCATTTGTAAGGCCCCATTTTACTTTTCGAGCACCCCTCCCGGAAACAGACACCTTTCCGAATGAGCTTTGTTGTCCAAGATCCGAAAAAAACCAAAAACAAATCTTTTTGGCTCATAGGAGCCTGGTGCACATGGCTGTAGGACCTGGCAGGCACAAGCGCTGAAAATAAGCAAACCAGAAAGTTACCATTCCCACTTACCTTTCGTTTCAATGATATTTCCTTAAGAACAGACAAGCATCCCAAGCTCATCTATGCTGATGATTGTGCCATCACCGCTCAAGCAGGGAGCTTTGAGAGGGTTGAACAGAAGCTCTCCGAAGCTCTAGGTGCTCTTACTGCCTGTTACAGGGAAAACCAGCTGATCCCTAACCCATCTAAAACACAGACATGTGCCTTTCACCTTAAGAACAGACAAGCATCCCAAGCTCTGAGGCTCACCTGGGAAGGAATCCCACTGGAGCATAGCAGCACACCCAAATACCTGGGAGGAGTCACTCTGGGCCGTGCTCTGACCTATAAGAAGCACTGCCTGAACATGAAGCAAAAAGTGGGCGCTAGAAACAATATCATACGAAAGCTGACTGGCACAACCTGGGGATCACAACCAGACACAATGATGACATCTGCCCTTGTGCTGTGCTACTCTGCTGCTGAGTACGCATGCCCAGTGTGGAACACATCTCACCACGCTCAAACAGTGGATGTGGCTCTTAATGAGACATGCCGCATTATCCCGGGGTGTCTGCGCCCTACACCACTGGAGAAACTACACTGTCTAGCCGATATTGCACCACCTGACATCCGCCGAGAAGTAGCAGCCAAAAGTGAAAGGACTAAGGCAGAGACATCTCCAGCTCATCCCCAGTTTGGGTATCGGACAGCACGTCAGTGACTTAAATCTAGAAATAGTTTTCTAAGATCTACAGAGATACTCGCTGGAACACCTCAGCAAGCGAGAGTCCAAAAGTGGCAGGCTCAAACCCAGAACCTCAACCAATGGATGATACCAAATGAGAGACTCCCCCCTGGGCACACAGAAGACGGGGCGACTTGGAAGGCGCTGAAGAGGCTGTGCTCTGGCACCACGAGAGGCAGAGCCAACCTTCAGAAATGGGGCCACAAAGTGGAATCCACGACATGCGAGTGTGGAGAAGAGCAAACCACTGACCACCTTCTGCAATGCACCCTGAGCCCTGCCACATGCACAAGGGAGGACCTTCTTGCGGCAACACCGGAAGCACTCCAAGTGGCCAGTTATTGGTCAAAGGACATTTAATCAACCACCAAGCTTGCAAACTTTGTGTTTTGTTTGTTTGTTTGTTAAAAAATGCAATACAACTGTTTGGTTTGCTCCTGACACGATAAATAAATAAATACTGATATTTCCGTACAGGGGAGGGAGTGTGCCGTTTTGCGCCATCCGAATGAACAGTACGAAACGAAAACACGAAAGAAATGAGACAAATACCAGGTCCACGACTACTGCAGAATAAATGCAG